TCTGTACAAAGACTCACTTGAATAACTCAAGCGGCCAATCCGCACACACGACGTCACACCGCGCAGACGCACTCGCGCCGACCATAACGACGACTTCAAGTTAAACTATATACGCGCCGCGCATGTAGCGATCGTGGCGCTACGAGACGGCTAACATCTCAATTATAGCGGAGCTGATGTCGGAAACAGGCGCTCGCTTACACATTATATAAATAACAAAATTAGGAATGGCAGAAAATAATAATGCATTGATTGCTATTGCAATTCTAATGTTAGATTCGTCTAGTGATGATTCATCGAGCACTGACAGTGATGAAGAATTAATAAACGCAGTTCAAATCATTCGGGACAAAAGGCCTAGAATACAAAATTATATAGAAGTTATTACTTTATATGATGATAAGGAATTTAAATCACATTTTCGGTGAGTAATAAATTATGCACTAAAATATTAGTATTTTAAATAAAATATATCATTAAATTATATATGCTAATAACATTTTTGTAGTCTACGTAGAAGTACCTTCGAATATATTTTAAACTTGATACGACCAGTATTGGAAAAGCCAAATAATACTGGAAGAGACCCTATATTGGCTTGCAGATAACTGTTCATTGCATTGTGGATGTTAGCTACTCCCGACTCGTACAGGTATAAACAAAAAATAAATGCATGTTATTAGATTTGTGAATACAATAGCATTTTATAAAAATATCTTAGGGCAATTGAATGAAATATTCTAATCTTAACATATTTTTATTAATAAATGATTACAGATCTGTATGTACAAAATTTGATGTTGGAAGGGCAACTGCTTGGCGATGCGTTCTAAGGGTAACAAAAGCATTATATATGTTAAGAAATACATTTATAGTTTGGCCTACGAGGCAACAAGCTGAAGTGACTTCGACTAAAATAGAAGAAAGAAGTGGATTTCCTAATGTCATCGGTGCAGTTGATGGTACTCTTATTAAAATAAGTGCACCTAAAAGAAATCCAGAAGCATACATATGCAGAAAAAACTATTGCGCAATTCAATTACAGGCAAATGTTATTAATGATGTTTGGAAATATGTGGAATTAATTAAAGTGTTATTTATAATTTCTTATCTATTTTTAGGTTGTATGTGATGCAGATTTAAGGTTTATACACTGTTATGCAGGACAACCAGGCTCAGTCCATGACATGCGGACATTTATGTATTCCGGATTACAGCAAAAATGTAATCCGCAATTCTTCTATGGAGACAACCACTTACTTGGTGATGCAGCATACACAATCCAGCGACACGTGATGGTCCCTTATAGGAATAACGGTCATTTGACAGAAGCTAGTAGATAGGATAGGCCGGTTCAGACTCATGGGGCAATGAGGGGGGGTGAGGTGCGCGGGGA